GCCGAAGACATAAGAATAAAACTTGGGCACTGTGGTAGAATGTAATTCCATTATGGGTAAATTTTTATTTTGATAGAGTCTCACAGTGTTATACAGTAATATTTACTGATGACGTTTCGAGCACAATTTATTGCTCATAATCATATGATATCATAATGGAACTCGCCGAAGACATTGGCTAGCGGTTGCGCTATATCGTGAATTGGCAGAAGTTAGAATTCATGGGCTATTGGATCAGGTCCCGGTGGCTTAATGGTGTACGAGCTCGCCTTGTAACCAGAAGGTCCTGTGTTCCAATCCCGGTGGGTGCGTACTGATGAGGAGTCCCAAACTAAGACGAAACAGTTGTCCAGTACTCCCAGGTTTTCCAATGGTTCTCTAACCAATATCAGCTCATGATGAAATCCTGTAACCAATCAACCAAATCCCTACAAACCAGTACTTGAACTAGTAATTGTTATGTCATCACCAGTTTGCAAGTTATAGTTTAACTTTAATATGTTTCAGTTCAGTTTCATGGTAGAGGTGTGAGATTAATGAGTAAGATCGATGTGAATGCTTATATAAATAAATATTGATCTCTATTAAGAAACAATCCTCTTAAATTAGCCTTCTATTTTTCAAAAAAAACACTGAATATACTCCTTAAATTCTAGATGACCAATTTCAACTGAAACAGGAAAAAAATATTTGTATTACATACAGTTGGTTTCCGATGAATAAGATCGTTAACAGAGGAAGTTCAAAACGGACTTACATTTCACTTTACGATGTGGTACTTTGTGAGTACTGAAAAAACAGTTGGGAACTAGATTGATTAAAAAGGTACGGACGACAACTTAGACTTTAACTTCTATTGTCTAAGCAGCAGCCTTTCTCAGAAAAAAAACTTTGATAGATGTTTCAAAGTCAAAGCTTTAGTCGTTAGTCTTAAGTATCTGCAATAATTTATTGCAATTTCTGATGTGAAATATCACTATTGTTAAACTTCCACTAACATTCAAATGAACTGTCGTCAAGATTTGACCGAATAGTTCTAAAATATTTGGGCGCCGAGTGAGAAGTAGACATTTGTAAAAAATTATATTTGTAATATCTCAGCGATATTGAAATGAGTAATTCCACCGTTTCGTTCGGCAATCTGGTCCGAACTTCTTCAGGGAAATTAATCAAAATTAACATAACAGAGGTTTTATGTATAAAAGGCACATCCTTTTGTTTTTAAAAACTTTGTCCAATCATGATTCATAAACACAAGTATTAACAAGTATAATAAACAATATTGTATGAGCTGTGATCAAAATTTGACCTCGGACTTACAAATATTGGTCTACCTTTGTTAACCACTTTAAACGGAGTGTGCATGCGTGTGTGTGTAAAGTTGTAAAACATTTCTTAACGTCTCCATAGGAAGATATAGACAGTCAGGAATTTGACCAAGTATTATTAATTAATTAGTGATACATATCCATATTTATTTATTAATCAGGATTTCCTATGCATCAGCTAACATCAAAAGGATGTGCCTTTTATATATAAAAACCTCTTTTATGTTAATTTTGATTAATTTCCCTGAAGAAGTTCGGACCGGATTTCCGAACGAAACGGTGGAATTACTCATTTCAATATCGCTGAGATATCACAAATATAATTTTTTCCACTAACATATGTAGGAGTCATTATCTTTAGCATTACCAGATCTCAATTTTTTAGGATTTTAACCAAGTTCAACTGCTTTTATCTTCGTATAAAGCGATAACTGAATTTGAAAGACAATTTATGACAAAATTTAAACCAGATATCCGGATGTCTGTGATTAGCACTCCTCTGTGTTAGCCACGATAAAGTTCATGAACTCTCTAACAGTTTGCTAGTTTTCTACAAGGACGTATGTCAAGAATTTTATTTGGATAAATTCCCAGAGATTAATTGGGTTAGAGCTGAAATCTGTAACTCACCATATAGTGTTCAGACCAATGAATCACAATCAGGTATTGGCTCTAAAGACCACCAAAGAAATGTTACTGGCAGGATAAAAGGCATACGTATGCCGTCACCATAACTGTTAATTAAAAAGGTTACTCAACAGTGATATGGACAGAATAATTTTCAGAATAGACAATAAATGGTATAAATCAGTAGCAGGTATCATGAAATATCACTGTTCATCCTTTCCCAACTACAAACTTGAGAATAAAGAGGACAACTGACTAACCAACCGACGTAAAACCCTGAGCAGAAGTACATTAGTTTAGGTTGACACACTTCGTTAACGCATACATGAAAGTAGAGAAAAGAGATGAAACAGACGAAATTATAGTGCACAGGAACCATTAAATGAAGACTAGTGAGAACCTTCATAATATGGCTGATGTAAAGTAGTGAATACATCTGCTCCATTGTGAATGATTTTGAACCATATCATCAACAGTACTAATCTACTAATTGTTTACGTTCTGACGAACCTGAACAGACACACGAGACCAACTGACAATGTTGGGCATGCCGATAGTTAGAGATCTCAAGGGTTAGTGCCATGCTTTGACTACTCCCAACCCTTTTCCAATCTAATTTTTTTATTCCTTCACGTTCCCAGTGGAACATAGGGCTTCAGGCTAGTTGCTTGAAGTTTCTGTAGCAGTGTTTATTTTTACAGGATGTGGTTGCTAGCTTGATGCTCAACCTTTCCTCTTTATCAGCATTTTTGCTAGCTTAGCGAGGTAAAGGAGTGCGCCGGCCGGAGATCGAACCCCGGACCATGTGCATGATCGACGAGCGTCCTAACCGCTATGCCACCGACGCACAACCTAATCTAATCTCAGCTAATATTCGTGGTCAAGGACAGAGACCAACCGTCATGTGTAACACGTATCCCAATCAATGAAGCTCCATAACCGTATTGATTGTCTCTTCCTTCTTATCCATCACTCTACGTCATCATCATACTACTCCCCTTAACATGAGAAATTGAACAAGGGCATTTTGCATTAGTCTCAAACGTTATATTTTCTATCTTCAGAGGTGACCTCTTGCATCTGTAGGGGTAGGATAATTAAATATATTGCTGATCCCTGTAAGGAAATTAAATCGAATGAGTTTCATATTTTGGATCAACGAACTTTCCCTGGTATAAGTCAATCACTGACATATCGGCGGCGACTAGGGTCACGCGCCAGTAAATCCATAGTGGCAATTATTAAGAGTGATAAAATTAGTCTTCCCACGGGAATCACTTTCAACGATAACTATAATTATGCCCACATATGACCCCACTTAGTATACAATTAGTAATATTATCAGTCTGATAGTCATATAATTATAACAGAAATACTTGTTAGCTCTTTTATAAAATGGAATAATTTACAAGTCTGATAGAACTATCTCGAAATCCTATACCCTAACTAATACTTTAGTTAATCTGATTAGTAACTGGTCTCCACCAAATTAAAATACCTTCAAAGTAAAACCATCCAGCCCCGCTGCTGCCTTGTCTCGCTCCGGATATCTCTCTTGAAGTTTTTAGAGGTCCATTTACTTCATACATCATTTCACTCAACAAATCTGTTTAAGAACTCGTTTACCGAACAAGCATATGAAGTTGACCTTTCCACTGCATTCTCTCTCCTCACCCAGCACTGAACGCTGTTGTTACGAAGAACTTTAGCTTAATTTTCAGCAGGTTTCGCCTCTCGTTGCGTTTTGAGTTTACCACGATTATTTCACTTGATGAGGCGACAGAGAATTATTGGCACTGAATGATATTTAGCTGCAGATCATCATCTGTTTTCATTGCTGTTTCAAAAACAGATTCGATATACTATCAGGCTCTCTGGGTATATGCACGAGTATCAAAGTAATTGTTGAGTTAATTACTAAGAGTAGAGATCAAATGTTCTCACCAGTGACTTGAAACAATGGGTAATATGCCTCAAAGTCACTTTTGTGCTCTTCCATATGCACTACACTCTCACGTTTTAGCATGTTACTATTCGGTTCATTATAGTTCTTTTCAATACCTTTTTTCTTTTTGTTCTCTACCGTCATGCACTATAAAAAGTATGGCGCCTCGAACCACTGCACGTTTATGTATAATTTCGCGTTGAAATTCTGTCAACCACATAGCGAACCTTAGCCTCAATACCTTAGAGTTAAGTGATCAGCTTATTTTCATTGTCGGCAGTGGATCTCAGAGACAGGAAGTGATTTTTTAACGTAAGCAGCTAGTGTTAGATAGTCTTAGCATTGAAAAATAAACATAAGTTGTATCTGTCAGTGATCCCTTAAATACACTGGCCGACACCTGATGCTAAAACCATTAAGTAACTTTAAAATCATTACAGTCTTCAATGTGAAGGCTTTACCTCACTTGAGTGGACCTGCGGTAACATTCGTTCCGGTCATTACACCTCGTTCATACATTGCTATGCATCGAGTTAACAGGTTACACAATGGGAATAATAAGCAGGGGGCAAGACCCAACCGAACGACTATTGAACAGTCAGATGAGCCTTACTATACAAATATCATCTTGATCCTGATCTTCCCCTGTTTGGATAATAGGCTTTCAGGAGTGTGCAATCACTCAGCACCTTGTGATACACAGAACACCTATCCATAAGGATGAATGGAAACGTTACAGACGGTTAACGTCATTCAGCTTTATTGAACGCATTTGTTGATTCGTTGGGTGGCGCCTAAACCAACTCCACAGAACGATATCGGAGCCACTAGAAAGGCAATGTCAGAGTGACAAGCGGCTTACGAAATGTGATAATATGAGGTCATCCCGACAAACTGGACTAACGCCTAGGAACTTGGAGTTATTACGGTTAAGCCACTACTCCAGAAATAAAATTATTTAGGTGGTGAAACAACAAAGAATTCACCATTTAAGAGGGCTATGCATTTTAACTGAAGCGACATATAAACCTGACATGTGTATACATAAGTCAACTATTACTAAAAATGGCAGGTAACCGCAACAACACAAATGAAAGAAAGAAGCAATATAAAAGTTTATTATACAGTATAGTTGTTATGTACAAACGCAAGAATTAATCGTTTTGCGACTTAAATTTTTTACTTTGAGGAGTATCTGATGCGCTGAAGCTAGCACCACGTTTCGCCCCACCAAACGAATGGCGCTCGCCACCACGATGACCATTAAATTCTCCTCTCGCGCCTCGAGGCCCACCACGGTTTCCACGACCACCCCTGTCACTCCACCGACCGGGAAAACTTGCACGACCTCCACGAGATTCACCACGACCACCTCTACCACGGCTTCCCCTGAAATCGCCTCTTGGACCACCACGTCCTCGCCCTATATTTTCCAAAAGAATGACCGCGGATAATGCAACTGAGTTCACAAAAAGTTATATAACAATGAACCAATTCAAAAAGGTGTAGCACAATTAAAGGAGATAAACATTAGAAATTACTTCCTGACTAATTGCGACGTATATATATATATATATATATATATATATATATATATATATATAGCGAGCCCACAAATCGCATTGTGTAACTGCTACTTAGATGGATCATTAATATCATGTCCTCAGGGTGAACGTAGTCACTGTTGAAATACTAAAGCTGGTAAATATAGCTATTCTGTTCGCGTATCATTCAGAAATCTTTAGTTAGAAACAATTGATTTTTTTAAATGCCGCACAGTGCAACATATACTCATACCAAACTATTACAGAATGCTGATACCAGCAGTTTGCCTTATCGCTCAGCTATTACTGTGATGGAGTGAAATGATCACTGGGATTTTGATCAAATAAAGTAATTAAAATTCCCATAAGATCATTAGATTATGGTCTAAATACAAGGCTGACATCAATCAACCAAAACGGTCATACATTTCGCTGAACTGGTGACAATGTGAATCCTGTGAAGATTGGAAGGGTCTGGATGAAAAATACCACTATCTACGTGTTTATTAATGTTGCCCCTCGCTCAGCACACATTAAAGTGTTCACAGCAAAATTCAGGTACTGTATGCCTAATAGCAGAACGCGAGTCAGAATTAGGAAAGTGCACAAGGGACGTCACCTGTACACTAATACACTGCAATTAAACATTTAAATAAGGTCACCTAGATTATAAGCTGACTAGTTTTCTAGCCGGTCCCAAGCCCGGATAAAGAGGGAGGGTTGGGGTGTGGTGCTAGCAACTCCACCCCCAACACTTAACCAAATTGCTACAGAAACTTCAACGCACAAATATATTAAAAATTCTAAAAGTACAAACAATAACCTTATTTTTCGCTGGAATCGGGGAAGTGAAATGACGCAGGCTGGTGAAAGCCTTCAGGAAGCCAGTCAGCCGATGTGCCTTCTTTCGATGAAAGCAAAAATAAGGATGGGGACGTGGAATATTCGTACAATGTACGAAACTGGAAAGGCTGCCCAGGTAGCCGCAGAAATGAGGAGATAGAAAATAGAAGTGTTGGGAATCTGCGAGAGCAAATGGAACAGATGTTGAAGGAGCCAAATACCAACTGGAGAACAATAATCTACTCCGGTCACCCAGAGGACAATCACGAGCACACCGAGGGAGTAGCCATCAGGATGTCACCAACAGCAGCCAAAGCTCTCATGCAGTGGGAACCAATCTCCTCCAGGATAATAACAGCCAGGTTCAACTCGAAAGGAAGGAAGGTTACAATCATTCAATGCTATGCGCCTACAAACGTCTCAGAACAAGAGAAGAAGGAGGCCTTCTACAGACAACTACAAACAGTAATGGACAACGTGCCAAATGGCGATGTCAAAATCCTGATGGGTGATATGAATGCGAAGCTGGGAGGAGACAATACAGGAAGAGAACTCACCATGGATCACGAGGCCCTCGGTGAAATGAACGACAATGGTGAACTCTTCTCAGACTTCTGCGCCTTCAACGACTTGTTGATTGGTGGCAGTGTGTTCAAACACAGGGATATACACAAGGCAACATGGATTTCACCAGATGGACACACCAAAAACCAGATAGACTTCATTTCAATCTCAAGGAAGTGGAGACGGAGCCTACTGGACACAAGGTCGAGGAGAGCAGCAGATGTGGGTTCAGACCACTATCTAGTACAAGGGACTTTCAAGCTGAAGCTAAAAGCCTCGAAGATAGCTGGGGATAGGTCATCATGCAAGTTCAACACTCAAAAACTGAAGGACACAACCACGAAGGACATTTTCACTGCAACTGTCAGAGCAAAGCAGGAAACACTACGTGACATCACGGAAGAATCATGCGTGGAAGACCATTGGAACTCTCTGAAGGTGATTTTAAACGAAACGTGTTCAACGGTTCTAGGAAGAAAGAAGAGACAAGACAAGGAATGGCTCTCAATGGACACTTGGAAGCTAATAGAGGAGAGGAGAATGGTGAAAGAAAAAATGATTCAATGCAAAGACGACAAGAGAAAGAGACACTGAGCTCAACTTACACAGCACTGGAGGAAGAAGTGAAGAAGAGTGCTAGGAAGGACAAAAGACAATTCTACGACAACCTGGCCACTGAAGCTGAGAAGGCAGCAGGCAAGAGGGACCTGAGGACACTATATCAGATAACCAAGTCTCTATCCGAGAAGAGATCAACACAAGTGAAACCTATAAAAGACAGCCAAGGGAACCTAATTACCAAAGAAGAAAGACAGATTAAACAATGGGCGGACCACTTCAAAGGACTCTTGAACCGACCACCACCTACAACCCGTCCAGAAATACCAACAACAGCACGTACACAACTGCAAGTTGACACCAATCATCCAAAGAAAACTGAAGTCTTGAATGCAATCAAGCTTCTGAAAGCTGGGAAAGCAGCTGGACCAGATGGAATACCCCCTGAAGCACTGAAAGCGGACCCAGAGACGACAGCAGATATGCTGACTCCATTATTGCAAAAGGTCTGGAAAGAGGGAAAGGTGCCTACTGACTGGAGGAAAGGTTACCTGGTGAAACTACCAAAGAAGGGCGACTTAGGACTCTGCAAGAACTGGCGAGGAATCATACTCCTGTCGACGCCAAGTAAAATCCTGAGTCTCATCATCCTGGAGAGAATAAAGGACGCACTGGATACAGAACTCAGACCAGAACAAGCTGGATTCAGGAAAGGCAAATCATGTTCTGACCGAATTGCAACTCTACGCATCATCATCGAACAAAGCATGGAATGGCAATCAAACCTTTACCTCAACTTTATAGACTTTGAGAAGGCCTTCGACAGCGTTGACCGCGAAGTAATTTGGAAACTACTCGAGTACTACGGCGTACCCCAAATATTCATCAACCTTATTCAACAGCTGTACGACAACGGCACATGTCAAGTGATTCACAACGGAAAACTCAGCGAGGCGTTTGGAGTAAACACAGGAGTCAGACAAGGGTGCTTATTATCACCAATGATATTCCTAAATGTGGGACTGGATTATGCGTCAGACAATGGGAAACAAGAAGACAGGGATATCCTGGACCGACGTGAAGAACCTAGAAGACCTGGATTTCGCGGATGATTTATGTTTGATGTCACACAAAATCGAAGACTTACAAGCGAAAACCGACAAACTGGTCGAAGAAGCAGCCAGAGAAGACAGGACTCCAGGTGAACATAGACAAGACGAAGGTTATGAAAATAACCAACAACAACAGCAACATCCAGCGCCAATCACCATCAACAGGAGGGATTTGAAAGAGGTTACTTCTTTCACTTATCTAGGGAGCATTGTCTCAACTACAGGAGAGGAACGGACGAGGATGTCAAATCGAGAATCAGGAAGGCGAGAAACACATTCATCAACCTGAAACCAATCTGGAAATCTTCGTTACTCAACATCAACAACAAAATTCCGATTTTCAATACAAACGTCAAGTCAGTTTTGCTATACGGATCAGAAACTTGGCGGGTCACAAAGAATATTTCCAACAGCCTGTTGCATACCTTTATCAACAGCTGTCTTCGCTCTATACTGAAGATCAGATGGCCGGAAAGAATCACCAACAAGAAACTATGAGAACAAATAAAACAAGAACCAATCGTGCAACAAATATGCAGGAGAAAGTGGAGATGGATTGGACACTCGCTGAGGAGGCCGCTGGGTGACATCGCGCGTCAGGCCCTCGAGTGGAACCCAAAAGGAAAGCGGCGAGTGGGACGTCCAAGGGTGACATGGGGAAGATGGTGTGAAGAGGAGCTGAAACAGTATGGACTAACATGGATGCAGGTGAAAAGTACAGCAGAAGACAGAACCAAGTGGAGACGTGCGGTTGAAGCCCTATGTTCCACTAGGAACCCAAGGGAACAATAATAATAATAATAAACATTTAAATGCTATACCATACGATGACAAAACATCTTAAAAGTCATCGAAAAAGTAGCTGACGCTACTCTAATTAAAAAAATAAGTCGCATCATGAACAAGCTGCTTTGAAGATGTGGTGTCAGATAAGGAATATAGTAATACAACGGTTAAAAGGTGGACATACCTCTACTGGGATTCGGGTTAAGGACTCGGTCAAGGGTGAGGAACTTTGCAGGGTCCATGAAAAACTACAGGATATATTGAAAATTAACATCAAGTTACTTTCACTCCTTCCTTGAATGACTTGCTTTTAAGTGTGTCAGATAACTTGATTGAAAAATACTAATTAGGCCATATTAGAGAATATGCAGAGACAGTACTCCATCTTTTATCGGACCAAAAACTTCGTCAACTTTTCCAATTTCTTCTTTATTCTCCAAATACACTGGGGCATTGGAATAAGGGATTTTCTCAGCAGTTATTTTGCATACAATATCCTCTTGACATTGGTGAGCGAAAACACCAACCTCGATAACTTCATCAGGAGGACCAGAACTGGAATGATCGAAACGACCACCACCCCTACCGCCTCGGAAGCCACCGCGTCCACCACCTCTTGACCCGAACTTTTGGAAACCCATTGGTCACGCCTCGTAAGTCGAAGCGCCGCCCTTGCCTCAAGGATACAGTTAACCACAAGTGACCTTCACAAATAGAAGAAAAACTGCAGACAATGATTTTCGTAATAAATATTGAAAAAGAACACAAATAACCACTTCAAGGTGAATTTATCGTTAAATTTACAAACGCGGCTTATACAGTTTAAGGATGAACTTGCGAGTGATTGTGTTCATCCAGTTCGTTCTTCGCTTCGTTCATCTACAGATTACATGTACGTCACACTTATTTTATATTAAATGTTAAAAAAATTCGAAAAATGCCTTTGGTCGTTTTTTACGTGTTATTCATTTTACTTTTTTGGCATCAACTCTGCGAAATGAGATGTCGTTGAAGTTGGTGCTATGTCGTAATAGCTATGCACATAAAAACTTCGAAACGTGGCGTTACATTCTAGGAGTGATTAGAGTTTTTCAAGTAGATACTTGGTATTTAATAGGTCCCTGCTTAACACTAGTGTTCAGCGCTGAAGTGTTCAAATTATTAACACTGTTGTAAGAGTGCTTTCAGTTAAATTTAACGATAAACACATCGGACGAAACCTTCATTTTTGCCGCGATTCAGTATAATTATTGATATATATACATGGATGGTAATTACAATGTTAGATTCTGTCGTAAATCTTACACGTATGCTCAGCATTTACATGTTGATACCTTAGGTGTTCAGAGGAAAACATTGGAGAAATTCGATGGATTCAGTCAGCAGGAATTCTTGGGTCTCATATTTGCTGTCACTCGTTAGGTAGCCTTTTTGCGACAATGCGACTTAAAGCAGTTTCACAAACAGGGTTTTTCTGTTTTCGTAACCCTCCACTCCAACTATATCAGCTTAGTTGATCTGTTCACACACTCGACTAGGACCTTTCTTCTTTCGCCTGATAGTATAAGAAAAAAAGATGTTATATCTTTTTTGTGCTAAACTGTAATCTCACACCACAATTTTATGGGTAGTGAATTGTGTCTGAAACTGCATCCAGGAGACATGCCTCCTTGCACTGACAAAGTTGTTACAACATACATTCGAGGTTTCATTAGGACATAAGGTAATAAATGTAGATTTCAGTAAACAAAGGTCACCGGTTATTTAAAATGTAAAATTTCAGTTGCTATTTCAGCATTTATGGTGTTTATCTCATACCTATGTTTTCCTGAATTTAATTTACTGCTCCAGATGTACTTTCTCGTGACTGCCGAGTGCTGCCTAACCAAGACTTTTTACTACACCACCCTGTTACAAATTATTTGCAAGTTGACAATCTCGAAGGTAGTATGGTTTTGCTGTCCCATAACATGACTTACTACCCGCGGAACTTTTCTTGTGAACTTGTTGTCCATACACCTATCGAAAATGCCAAAATTATGATGAAAATTGAAGAATTTTATATTCCTTCCAAAACTCCTAGCTGTGTAGAAAACTATTTGTATGTATTTGATTCAAACACAGCCAAATCAAAGGCAATGGTAAGTTTGTTGAATATCCTTAAAATCTTCACAACTTATAACTTTTTCCCTTGGATTCGTGATTTTTTACTTTGAGAGTTCTGCATCATTGATTTGTATATGCCGTTAATTTGGACATTTTGTGATGCACAATTAGTATTTTAATTCTGAATTTGTTATTTATTGGATTATTCGTAGCCTGAAGCTGGTGGAGAACGTGGTCTATGCGGACCAGATTATCCAAAACAGCTCATATTTACAACGAAGTCATACATCTGCATCGCTTTCCAGTAAGTTGATGTAATGAAATTATTAACATGACAAAAACGCAGATATGGTGCGTTAATAGTACTATTATAATTTTTTATGTTAACACTACCATTAAAGGCTTTTGATGAAGTTTAAAACATAACGTGTGTGCTATTTTTTTTACTAAAATACACATGACACAAGGTGTTACCATAGTCACTTAGTCAAACAGCGATTTCAGCTGAAATGGTTATTTAGTGACCTGAACTTCTTGTATTAAATAGTGATCAGTTTCATGCTGTTGGCCATAGATTATTGACATCAGCATCCGTTAGGGTCACTCTTCACCAACTGTAGTTTTTTTCATACTAGTAAAAATTGGTCCTGATTTTTGATTTCCTTATATTTAAATACCTTTATGTGTAATTTATTTGCTACATTTGTGTGGCTGCTGTCCATCAGCTTAGCACTTGACATTAATCAAACTGGTGCCGTTCTACCAGCCTCAGTTTAAGCGATCGGATATTACCATTAGCCTCCACAAAATAAATGTGGGTGATGGCCTGGTGGATGAAAAATCTGTTCTAGGTAAATGCTTTCTAACTAATTACGTAAATCTGTAGAGTTGTTGCATCCTATCATAACTCCACCTAAGCGAGGTCATCGGGCTATTGCATTGTTGCGGCCACCGCACTGAAAAGTTTTTTTTGTGCTTAGTGTATTAGATACAAGTGTGTTCTAGGAGTGGTTTCAAAGTGTGGATGTGTATTTACCACATAATGTGGTGCCATGTGACAAACCGTAATAGTACTTGGTCAAGAAAATTCGTAAACCTGAAAAACTATGCCGATTTAATTACAAATATTATAAAGACTAAATTCGAATCAGATCATTGGTCCAAATCCTGCAACTTTCTTGTTTCCTGTAAACGCTTTAAAAATATCTCAGGAGACTACTCATAAGGGCTTTCCGTTACTTCTCATTTATAAGTTTTCCGGCAGTTATAGTATATCCAGATGGATTGTCTCAAACTGCACAGTGTGCGTTGTGGATTTCGTTAACTATAAAACACTACTAAGTTATCCATATCACCTCTAGATGTAAATACATCATTTTACTGAAATACATTTCAAAATACTTTATGTATCAGCTCTTCTTGCCCTAACTTTTTATTCTCTATGATATAAATTCTCTTAAGCAGGTTAAAATGTGTAAACACCTGCGTGTTTTATCGTACGGTTAATTATTTGAGCCAGCCTAGATGATCATAATTTCTGGAATTCATACTGCTCACATGCTCAGCTCGAAACGCCATGTAATTCTATCTTCCGAGAACAAACGTTGAGTAGTAAAGTAGTTAGCCGTAACTTTTAATACTACCTTGTGTGTGAATTTGCTGGTTAATATCTTGAAAAAACACTGGCGAACAGAAGTGAATGAGTGGTGACGGAAGCAAAAATGAGACAGCTTATGTAATGTGTCTATTGGTGAGATTTACTCGGTTAAAATTATAACAGCTCGTGATTATTAACTAGATATACGACTAAGAATTCACAGTCCTTTACGATAACGTCATACAGAAGCCTCATTTATCTACCTTGGTGTTTACGTTTAAATGAAATCTTGTTACATTTTAGGATACGGATCAATAGACTTCAGGTCTAAACTAATCTAATTAGTTATTAAGCTGATCCTTCTCTTTAGTCCTTGGTACTAATATATTAGTCGTGTAGTTGGTATGTGGGCGGCTGTGTATCATCTCTTATTTGTCGATGAGACTATGATCTAGTAATTAAAAAATGGAACTTAATACTCACTAGTAGTTATGAACTAGTACTTGGTGTTTTAACTATTACCGTGATCCTTCTTCGCTTTCATTTATATAAGAAATGTATCGTGAGTATGTCTGTCTTCTGGTGCTTAATGCAGGAATCCACTAACAGTCTTCAATTTTTCTTCGTATGGTTATGTGCTCTGAGGTGAGTAATTTGGTTGCAAAGCCTTCACTGTCCTTCTAGTGCTTGTTTCAATGTGAAGTGAGCTTTTTTGAATTCTCTATGAGTAATATAACTGTCTCACTGGTCAATCTTGGCTGTGGCTAGTTGTCTTTAAATATCTAGAAAGATGATAAAAGCTTCGCAATTAAATTAACGAAGCTATCCAGCTCCGAAAACACAGCCACATCCAATGCATCCGTCTAAGCTACAAATCTCCACTATTCTAGAAGTCAATTTGTTGATTCGTGCAGCACAGATATGATGATATGCACTTCTCTATTGTTTTAGATTGATCTAGAGTCTCCAGGGTTCACTTAGCAAAGCGTGGAGCTTGTCTTAGCTTTGTGTTTAATTGTTTTAATTTTATCACTGTATTTTTATTCATAGAGTATTTCGCATTGCCTTATTTGCAGTACATCACCCCAACGACCTCCTGTCTTACCCGGCACAAAACCTGGTTTTCGCGTTATTTTGACTGCGGTTCAAGAAAGTAAGTCATCAATGTTTCTCGTCCTAGATATCAGTTGCTTTTGTAAATTGTATCTACAAAGTGCATTTCGACTAACTCATAATTATTATTTCCCACTAGTGATTGACTTGAAACTTTGCTATTTTACAGGTGAGTTTATCATCATCTGTGAAATCGGTGCATAGATTAAGGCTGGAACAACCTAGAATGCCCCGATTTACACTAGCTTTTAGTGAATTACTCAGATAGGTATAAAAAAGATGTGCATTAACTCTAAAAAGTCATTATAGTTTTCAAGGCTGTAGTGTCAAATAAATTATAGGGATCTAGTGGTTACTGAGTTTCTCTTCTTCATTTTAATTCCGTTAACTACATATTTCAAAATTAAAAAACACCACGTACAAATATGTGATGAGTCAGCTGTCTCTCATCTATACCTTATGAAGCTTCGTGTCCATAAAGGCGTTATTTGTGAAATGACTGACTTCGAGTTTTCTCCGTTTAAATCTCTTCAAAAGCGTGTTTGAGAAACTTTTTACTATAATGAATGAAATGAAAAGCATTAAAAGACAAACAGTTAGTGAATTAGAAATATTGGGTACACAATATTTGAAACAATACACAAAGGAAACGTATCTGTACTTACGAGTCGTGATACGACAGCTCTCTTAACACCGCATAGCTCTGAATGCCAAACTTTTTAAAACTGTCCTCTTAAAAGTGGAAAGCGTATTTAAGTGGAATTGTGGTCTTGTAAAGGAAATATTTTCTTTTTGCTGCTACAAATGTGTACAGCCAACACTCTCAAAAGCACACCATACTGCGAGTAGTTTACACTTCTATGGTACTTGATCTGAGTCCAACAACTATTCAGCTTATCGTACTAAAATCATATAGTCTAAAAATAAATCATTTGAATGTACATCTTCGAATTATCGTGATCTGACAGCTCAGTCACCTCATCATTGTAACAACTATTTATCGACCTCATTAATAGTTTGTATTTGATCATTTGTAGACGTTGGGATCTCATACTGTAATGACAGTGAATAGCGTAATTAATATTTTGTTTATCAATACTAGATTGATATACCATACAAAACCGAATTTCATATTTGTAGATAATTCAATATATCCGAGATAGTGAAATGCGTAGCATAATTATACATCCATCCTTTAAAGTTACTTTAGGTGGGGACTGATTTGAGATTTGTCTAGACTTGCACATTTCTCTTATTGTGGTCAGAAGAAATGTTGACATATTTTAACACGCTCAATTCTTGTTTTATATATATATATATATATATATATATATATATATGGTGTCTTAAGCATTGTACTTTTCTCATCATGTGGCAATGAAAACGAGTTTCTTCTACCATATTTCATTTAGTCGAAGCATATTTAGCAGGATCTCCAACTGTAATGAAAGTAAATTATCTGTTTCTTGTGCTACGCATTGTGTGTGATAGATATTTCTAAAGCACTAGGAAGCCGCCCCCATCTGATTTGTTACTGCTTATGTTGTTCGTCAACTACCCTGCCCGTATTGTACAATGGTGGTTTATCGGAATTATTTTTGTGAAGTAAATTAACTTAGTGATAATTCATGTTAAAATATGGTAACAAGTGCGTTTTTTATAATTTATTATCTTGAGAAATTTTATACTTATTTCATTCATGCTAAAATTATTATTTTTTTGCATGTTTTAGCTCGTACTAACACCTGTCCATCAGACAATTTCTATTGTGGCTTAATGCCTCGTTTCTTGGCATCAAACACAATGATGGGATTAAATCCTCTCTCGTCAGACAGCCGATTGTATGGATCCTCTCTGTCTCTTTCACAGAATATGCGAGACCTAGATGAGGAGAGATCTTCAACCAACCATGAAAAACAATCCATGGGATACTGCATTACTAGGAAAAGTTTATGTGATGGCATTATTAATTGTGAAGATGGTAAAGATGAAGATATATCCCAGTGTCAAGCTCTTATGGGTACGTTAGACGGCATTGTTTTCTCTAGTGTCACTAGTTCTTCATATTAGCGTTCTCTATATTTGAGGTCATGTTTATTTTGCTCATCAGCACCCCTTAACTTCCACCCTACTGAGGTAGTTTTGGATTTATAAGCAATGTACACAAAATTCTTTTCAGCATAAAATCTGGAACTATCAGGTTTTACAGTGACGATGTTAATGTGGATGGACTAGCCAATTTTTTCAACGTGTATCGACTTGTAACGATTATCTAATCTCACCAGGGATGATTTATTTCAAACATGGCCTGTTTAATCTCATAGGTTGTTGCTTTCAGTTGGAGCTATAACAAATCCACATAGTTATCAATCTGTCTGTCTGTCTGTCTGGATTCAACATAGAACTTGGCACCGAAGTGCAGCAGTTCGAGTTGACACGTTCCAAATAGCACACAAAGGTAGACAAGAATCAATAGAGTTTTGACAAGTATAAGAGTGAAACAGAATGAGTAATGGTAGAAAGGAGTATGAAGGTTAAAGAGACTGAATACATCTGCGCCATTGACAACGATTTTGAGCCATGTCACCTATTGTCTCCAGCCATTGATTCTTAGAGTCCCGAGGGCGGGCCCCAACCCGGAAGTCTGCATCTCCCTACCTAACTCAGTTTAACTGTCAAAGATTTCATGGACTGATGCCATGTTTTTGTTTGGCCACCACTTACTCTTTTCCAACCTGCACCTATATCAGCTAGTAATGCCCGTCGGGGGAGACGATGGTTAGGCATGCGCAGCACGTGGCCTAACCATCTCAATCTATGTAACTTTATAGCCTCTTCGAGTGATTTTCCCTCTTTGCCCAACACTCTACGCCTAACGTCAACATTACTTACCTTATTATACCACCTAACGCGAGAAAGAGATCGTAAACATCTGTGGTCAAAAACAGACAATCTCTTCATGTCTTCCGCTTTCAATGGCCACGTCTCACCGCCATAGAGAAGGACGAAGCGAACTGCTGAGCAGTACACACGTCCCTTGGTTGATAGCCGGATGTCACGCCTACGCCAGAGACGGTGTAAGTTAGCGAAAGCAGCCCTAGCTTTCTGGATCCGTGCTGTGATTTCGTCACCAATCAATCCGTTGGTGCTGATACAACTTCCTAAATAGGTGAAGTGGTCAACATGTTCTATCACTTCACTCCCTATCACTAAGCTTGGAGTTGACGTAGTCCAGTCCTGTAGCAGCATCTTACATTTCACAGGGGCAAATCGCATGCCAAACATACGAAGATTGCTACTCAATGTGTTCAGAAGACTCTGCATTTTGTCAGCGTTCTCCCCTAACAGGACTATGTCGTCTGCGTATTCTAAGTCTATAAGACTATTCCCTGGTAACAAGTCGATTCCTAAGTCGTTACGTTCGGTTAAGGATACTTCCATCAGCATATCTATGATGAAGTTAAACAGGAATGGGGAAAGTGGACATCCCTGACGGACACCACTGGTTGTTATCAATTCAGATGACAATTCCCCATAAGCCCTTACACAGCTACGTGAGTTTGAGTAGAGTGCCTTGATTAGTGCAATGTACTTTCTTGGCACTCCCTTCATAGTCAAACATTGCCATAGAACCTCTCGATCCACGGAGTCGAAGGCCGCCTTCAAGTCAAGAAATATGGCAATTGTTGGACGTCGAAAAGTGTGTCTATGTTCTAGGATCTGTCGGAGAGTGAAGATATGATCTATGCACCCTCTACCTGGCCTAAAGCCTGCTTGGTTTTCCCTCGTTTGTTCCTCCCGAGTTCGGCTTAGCCTGTTCATAATTACCGAGCCTAGGATTTTAGGAACTATGTTCGTTAGGCTGATCCCCTTATGATTATCACATGAGGACTTGTCTCCCTTCTTGAATATCGGTATAATAAGTGACTTACCCCAGTCTGATGGAACCGTCTCTGATTCCCAGACGTTACGTAGTACCTTAGTTAATCTGCATATTAGTATGTCACCCCCATATTTAAACACCTCCGGAATAATTCCGTCGGGTCCTGCCGCTTTGCCTCGTTTCAAATTACGGATAGCTTTTGTGACCTCACTTACAGACGGCGGGACAGTGTCTATATCCCATTCGGATGTGTGCTGGATGGTGGGGAGGCTCAGTGTGGCTGTAGGCAAGTTAAATTGTTCCTCAAAGTGTTCTTTCCAGCATTCGAGGCGTCTATCCTAAGAGCTAATTAAGGAGCCATTTTTCTCAGAAATAGTCTCACTTATGATTTGCCTTCTCCCACCCGTTTCCCTGATGAGTCTAAAGAGTTGCCTAGTGTTGCCTATCGCCGATGCTTTTTCCATCTCTTTCTCCTTTGTCAACCACCACTGTTCACGGTCCTTGCGGAGACTTTTCGTAAGTTCTCTTTTGTGCAGCTTTCGCTCCTCATTGAATTCGGAGCTCTCCGGAATAAGTCTTCTAGCATCTATCAGTTCGGATGAGGCAGTCGAAATCCAATGGTTTTTACTCACCTTTGGATTTACCTTATTCACAGCTTTTACAGCTGTATCTATGGCTGACTGAATATTCTTCCAGGCTTCTTCAGGGTGAGCGCAGCTGTCGAACTCAGATATGTGTTTAGGTAGTTCTTCCTCAAATAGGGACTTAGTTTCTCTTCTTCTTCTTCTTCTTTACTTCGGCTATCTCCTACGGAAGGATGAGCCGGCTTCATGAACATCTCGAATCATCGCTGCCCAGGCGCGGCGATCTGATGAAGAGTGTTCATGAAGTTTCATGGGAATTTGGTACGAATGATGTCCCCAGAATCGCTCGGCCTTTTGTTTGAGAGTGCAGCTCTAGCCTTTACACAACCAAGTGTGACCTACAAGGCAGTAGGAGTGGAGTAGGGAGTCCACTATCCATTGGCAGCCGGTGACCGGAGTTCGGTTCATACGCCTTTTTGAATGGGGCCAGACATCCAGGACATCCAACAAGCCCTTTGTCCATACGTCTGCCGGTGAGCTTCATACGCCAGTCGTTGGAGGTTTGGAATCAGGGTTTAGCCATCTCCCCTAGACTGACATCCAATGGACAGTCAACCCAGTGAAGAGCGCCGGGCATCCGCTTTCGCCCTCTCACTTTGGTGAAAAACACCTCCGCCACGTGAAGGCAGTGAGTAGGACTTCCTCAGGAGAGGCTATGTAAGACGCCTGATCGAGCTGGGGACTTGATGGGTTTACCGCCAGCTGTTTCCTACGTCCGTTCAGTCGTAAGCACACACGAGCGCGGACCAGTGCGTGATCGGTATCTACACACGTGTTCCAGAAGGAGTGACAATCCCCTACCGACCCACGCCAACGATAGCTTATTGCTATGTGGTCTATCAATCACTGGACAATTACATTTTCGAACATGACTTGGATTGAGGATTAAAGTGACACGTGAGTCCAACGTTCAAGAAACTTGTGGATGATATTATTTTGTGAAATCTATCTTGAAATCTCACACTTTACCAAAAATCTGCAGTAAGTGAAAATGCTTGGAAAAGCTATGAAATCTAATTTTCCCTCCGAAAGTATGGCGAACAATATTTCATTCGTATTTGCAGTAGTCAATGATGATTCTTAAATGCGATTCACTGATTGATTTTTAGATATCTTTTCTACTGTTTCAACTTTTCTTATCGTCTTTTTGTAATCTCGAGCAATATATACACCTAATTGTCTAATGTACCGAGTTACAAATGGTTGTCAGTTCTTGTTATGAAACTCCCCCAGGATGTTTCAGTACTTATGTAGAATATTTTCGTTTTTTTGCTTGTCAGTATAAAATAACATCCATTTGTACATTTAAGATGAAGTATATGGAGAACTGTTTTATCAATGGTTTTTTTATCCTTTTTTCTCTCTCTCTCTCAAAGGGATGAAAGATTCAAACACAATTTTATACGCCGGTGATACAAATGATCCTAATAACTGGTTATCAGGTTTCCTGTCACTTGGTATACCTGCATCTATCGCTATAGCTGTCAGCACAATTGTTATCTTTACATTGGGTATTGGGGGTGTGATATGTTGTTGTCATCGTTGTTGTCGAATTAACCAAGGCTATAATAATCACTATTCGGATGACAGAATTCAACGCAGAAGTGGTGCATTTCTTTCTGATACAGGAAACAGTAGTTATAATTATTCTAGATCTCAACATCGGGGGATAGTTGCTGTCAACACTGGTGCGCATTTATCTGGTAATTTAAACTTAGTTTCCCATGTAGACAGTAATCAACAGAATATAAACCGAGAATGGCAACAGAGTGCTCATTTTCCACCTGACTCAGTAGCAGTAGGGGAAAATTATTCACAACGTGGTTATAATGTACCTACACATTATCAACAAGCTTTCAGCCACTATTTCACATCTCAGCATACGAATAACGAGAAAGAAGTTCAATCACACTGTATTCTCCAAACACCCTTAAAATTATCATTGATGGATAGACCATATCCTATTATGAGTCCTTCGAATGAAACTATGGGTTCTCAATATTTCGTCTCTGTTGGTCACCATGGTAGTGATTCTTACTCGTCTATCAATACAAATTCAGCGAGGGGTTTTGATCAATCTCAGAACAGACCACCAGGACCTCCTCCTGCACTAATTCATGGCGCTTTAGGTAGTCCTTACACTTACAGAAGAGGTAAGTCAAAAGTTTTATGTGATTAGATTTGAAAAGCTTTTACCATTAGTATTATTATTATTGTTGTTCGTAGCAGTGGTAACGTTTTACGAATGTAAAACAAAGTCATACAATATCTTGCTAGATATGGTATAAAGTTCCCCAGTTTCGCTATGTAGTCTTACCTTACATACCTATGACAAAGATGACTCTAATTTAGAAAGGATTGGTGTTTAAGGCTGTTTAGTTCATCTTAGACTACAAGTATTCCTGTTGTGTTTCCTATAATTGCGTGTCCACAATCGTCATATTTGTTGAAAAGGATCAGTGGAAGATTATCTCATATTTGAAGTGATCTTTCGCATTGTATTTATCTCTTTAGTGGACAGATATAACCACACCTGAGTAACACAGAAAATAAGTAACTGAGTTTCGTCTTCATGCTAAACTAACTATATCTCTTCTGGATATTCCTAGGAGAAATCAACATTCATAGGAAGCTGGAATGCTTCCATTACCAAAAAATATTCTTTTTTTCATCACCTGCGTTCATTTTTATGCATTTCCCTTTCTCACATTTCAATCCCATTAATGCAATTCTCCATTGTGTTTTTTTTTTCATCTCTTAACTCCACAGTCAATTTAAAAAACCCATTTACGGTCTACAAAAAACTGCTTCGCTAACCTTACACTGTGTCTTTTAATGTCCTAACCTTATTTTTAATCAGATAGTGAAGCTTTCTAAACAGATCGTAATCTTTCAAAGTGTAGCATATATTGCATCTCTGAGGGGAACCTGCAGTGCCTAATTTTGTGGTTATTCACCCAAACCACGCCTCCGAAATTCACCTAGAAAAACAAAAAGTCGTTTGCTCCACTATGACTTTCTCTTCTCTGGCTAAGTGTGCTACATGGAGTGTGACAGCTCCAGCTTGTGCATTTGTGCAAAGTTCTACGTTGAAACCAGTCAGTCAGTCGGCTTCACTGTGACACAGATGTCTGGCATATACTTTATGTCTGGTTGGGTGGTACTCACATATTGTGGCATGTATCCAGGTGGAGTACATAGACATACACTGGTTTTGGCAGCTTGGATATGTGCTAGGAATATCATACCACACACACACACACACACCGTCCACCGTTTCCTCGCCCTGGGACTGTATATAAATGGTGGAGAAGTAGTCAGCAGACGAAATAGTCATGGGACGTAAGATAGTTGTGCTAGGTTAGCGTTTGTTGGTGCAATCCTACACCTTGGGTGGATTTCTATCTAAATGTAAGCACCGACACAACAGAGCCCTCTTCTGTTTGCCAACTGATGCTTATTTGTTATGCGTCTATCATATGAGCTAGTTTTCTGCAATATCACCCATAGTATCCTTCTGTCACTGATTCAATTGAACAGGTGACTTTAAGTTTGTGTCTCGGGCATTATAGGAAAAAGTCTTTTGCGTGAGATTTCTGTCCTGAACGTTTAATTTTTCTCTAATGTCGTGATGTTAACCCTTCCCCGACCTCATCAAATAAATAGGTAGATAAGCCTCAAAATCCAGGTTATATATGTACGCCTGAGAGGACTTATAAGGTCACAGGTTTTTGAAATTAGCTGATTTCATGTCATTCGCAACGTGTTTCTAAAAGGCAGTAGGAAATTTTGCCTTTAAACCTCAAGTGCTAACTAAATTAGGCGAATTTCATGATATTGCAATTTTTCATTGACGAAGGAGAGTATCGCCCATTCGAAGCTTCCCAAACAGGCATTGTCAGCTCAAAATTCATCTTAAAGTTTGTTACCCCCAGAATATATATATATATATATCAAACAAAATACCCGAATAATTCAGTCGTCTTCAAAGAAAGATGTATGTATTACTTCGCCTTAAAGCGGTATTTTGTAGAACGTACTGTGTAGTCGACTTCATATTGATAAAAGGAAAGTTGTATATCTCAATTCCTCACGGCATTCGAACAATAGTGTCACTTCATTGCGTCTACGAATTCAAACACAAAAAGAGTCTATTAGCCTTTGCATGTCAAAGCGTATACTAGAGTGGCTGCAACAGCGAATTCAAATCGAAAAACACGTCATGGAAACACGTAGTCATAAAGCTGATTCTGAAATGTCCTTTAAATCCATATGTAAAGCATGTTCATGCCATATAATTGAGCTTCTTAAAGCCCTTACTAAGAAAAGGTTTACACCTATTTTGTATTCAAAACTCATTAGTCACATTGAACACTCTCTGCCAATGCAATTTATAGGCTAGAGGCTATTTTCATATTGATTTCATTCCTTTCATCTGTGATTTTGACCCCTATTTATTTCAGTTTTGACTTTTTGAACTTAGTTTCCATATAGATACGCATGTACATGACATGTGATTACAATGTTCGAAATGTTTTGTGACAGTACGTTACTCTTCTCAGATAAATAGCATCTGATTATCTTGTTAAAGTTAAAATAACGTAGTTTGCGTCCATAATTAATGTTCTTTCTATTAATGTATCTCTTATAAATAGATCCTTTATGTTACACACCACCTCCATATGGTGCATGTAATGTTCCCCCAGCAAGTAGTGTGACTGCAAGTAGCAGTAGAACTGGTACAACAAGCGGTGGTCCACGTGAATCTGTGAAGTCTAGACGTGATCAGTCAGCCCCTGCAATGAGACATAGTAACTCTGGAAATGGAGATGGAACTGGCAACGGGAGTGGTACTGAGTTATTCAACCAGCAGCTGAGTGGCCTTGGTTCTGCACTTCACACCAATACACCTGTAGAAACGATATCACATGGTGGTGATCTTACTTCCAATGGTGGTATTGTTTATTTAGGTGAAATGTATAGACCTCTTTCTCCACAAAATTCCAGCATATTTCAAAGTGAAAATCGTGGTCACAGTTCAGTCACCACTACTGGCAGTGGTAGTTCGCGTGATAGGCAATCTCGTCAGTATTTCCTCAATGAAATACAGTCTCACCATAGTGACTGTCAAGCATTTGTACAAAGAACTCATCAATCATCGCTTCATAATTCTGTTCAAAATAATTCTAGGCGTTCGAAAGTATCATCTCATCGTCATCACCATCGTTTAAAACACCACAAGTCAACTGATCCGAGTCGTACTATTTCAAGTGGTTCGCATACTCCAAATAGTTCACGATCTGGTGCTTTATCTGTAATGCCACACAGAACAGGTGATGTACACGAACAAATGATTAATCAGTCATCCTTATCCACTACAACAACCATCCCCAGTACTACTGCACCATCTAACCACCAGCCGATAATATTCCCTGTACAGTTGTAAAGCTACTTTATTGGAATAGCAGTGTATAAATTCCATCAGTTTTGGAAGAGTTTTATCCTTTTGAGCTTCACTATCTGTCCTATTTTACTTTTTGTGTTGTGCAAAGTGTAATTCATACTCGCGATTTCCTTCTTTAAAAAAAAAAGAATATTTTCACCACTTCTCACTGATTTTTTTTTGTTCATCTCTATGTCCTCGTGTGAGCTAGTCATTTTACTTTGTACTAATCATAGCCGTATTTTCCTGTGTCTACCTACTTCCAGTTATGATTTTGTTGCATTTTACACTCCATTTATATTGCTTTTGCATTTTTCTAAGAGTGATTTTAATTTCTTAATTGTAATTTCCCCTGTTAAATCAAACTGTTCAAGATTATGTAATTTTTTTTCAGTGAGATCACACGACGCACTCATTATTGTATATATTTTATGTCAGTTGGTCACTGTAGTTCAAATTTCACGACAATTTTATGACCAGTGTTCAAATAATTGCTGAATAGTTTATTTATTTATTTAATGTGCCGTCCTATTTTTTTTCCCATGTGTGATCTCTTTCTTTTCATCTCTTATTCATTTTAATCTTTAAAGTCTTTCATCGTGAAAATGTACGTAGGATTTGTGCATAGCTTTAATTTTTCTATCCATTGTACATTATACACAGTTGTGTCACCCTTGTTCATTTTTTATATACACATACTTGTTCATGAATCATCATGTCAGCAGTAACTGCATATAATATTTTTTATCTTCTTAATTATTCTTTGATCTTTCTGTTATTTCAGGTTAATTAGTAGTACTAGTGATTGTTTCTGTATACATTACATTGTTTTCATTTCAGTAGTAAACATGATTCCAAGTGTTTGATTATATGACTTGTTAAATAAATCGTCTCTAAAGTACTTTGTGATATTTCAGATATTTCCTATCGAGACTCTGAGTCTCTATTTAAAGAAGAAATAGCGAAACGAGTATCTGAGGTCGACAGCAGTAGTACTCCTGAGGTAGCCTGGCACAACATACACTTAGCTGTAGACACAACTGTAAAAGCTTCTAATAACCTAAAAACAAAAGTTTAGTAAGAGTTATTGGATCTCTACCGCGTCATCCGAACTGATTGACGCAAGAAGACTGATTCCGGCGAGCTCCGATTATGATGAGAAGCGAAAGCTACTCAAACACAGGCTAACAAGAAGCCTTCGTAACGACCGTGAACAGTGGTGGACGACAAAAGCGAAAGAGATGGAAAGGGTATCGGTGATTGGTAACACCAGACAACTATTTAGACTTATCAGGGAAACAAGTGGTAAAAGGCAAACGATAAGTGAAGCAATTTCTGAGAAAAATAGCACCATAATTAGCTCCCAGGATAGACTGGAAAGAGCACTTTGAGGAGCAGTTTAATTGGCCTACAGCCATGCTCAACTTACCGAACATCCAACACCTCCCTGAATGGGATATTGACATAGATCCTCTGTCTCTAACTGAGGTTATTAAGGCTGTTACTAGTCTGAAACGAGGCAAAGCAGCAGGACCTGATGGAATGATGGTGGAGACAGTCTACTGTCTGCGTTAACTAAGGTACTAGGCAGCGTCTAGGAATCAGAGGAAGTCCCGTCGGGTTGGTGTAAGTCATTGATTATCCCGATATACAAGAAGGGACACAAGTATTCCTGTGATAATAACAGGGGGATTAGCTTGACTAATACGGTATCTAAAGTTCTAGGCTCAATAATAATGCGTAGACTAAGTGGTGCTCAGGAGGCACAAACACGAGAGAACCAGGCAGGCTTTAGACCGGGAAGAGGGTTATTGACCATATCTTTACCCTTCGACAGATTCTGGAACATACTTACCGGCGTCGAACAATCGTCATATTTCTTGACCTAAAGGCGGCAATGGATTATGTCGACCGAGAGGTACTCTGGCGATGCCTGGCTGTAAAGGGAATGGCGAGAAAATACACTGCACTGATCAAGGCACTCTACTCTACTCGAACTGATGCAGTCAACCAGATGAGAGCATAGGGCGAGTTGTTATCTGATGTGGTGACAACTAGCGGTGTCCGTCAGGGATGCCAGCCCACTATCCCCATTTCTATTCAATTTCATCATAGATGTACTAATGGACTTAACCCTAAATAACTTCAGCGACTCAGGGATTAACTTGCTACCAGGGAATAATCTCTTTGACTTAGAATATGCAGATGATATAGTCCTTCTTGGTGAAGACGCTGACAAAATATAGAGTCTTCTGAACACCTTGAGCTGCAATCTACGAATGTTTGTTATGCGATTCGCTCCCGCCAAATGTAAGATGATGTTACAGGACTAGACTACACTGACTCCTAGCTTAGAAATAGGGAGTGAAGTGGTAGAGCGTGTTGACCACTTCACTTATTTGTGAAGTTGCATGAACCAGTCCCGGCGGGTTGATCGCTGACGAAATCTCAGCACGCATACAGAAGGCTTGTTTTACATATGCCAGTTTACGCCGTCTCTGGCTTAGACATGATATCCGGCTATCGACTAAAGGACGTGCGTACTGGCCATTGAGAGTGGAAGACATGAAAAGATTAGCTGTCTTTGATGATAGGTGCCTGCGTTCTATTTCCTGTGTGAAATGGTATGGTAGGTTAAGCAATACTGAGGTTAGGCTTCCGTCGAGTGCTAGGTAAGGAGGGGAAATCAATCGACGAGGCTGTGAAATTACATCGACTGAGATGGTTAGGGCATGTTTTACGCGTGCTTGCCTAGCCATCGCCTTCCTCGACGGGCAATGTTAGCTGACATAGGGTCAGGTTGGAAAAGAGCCAGTGGTGGTCAAACCAAAACGTGGCTTCATCAGTCAATGAAATCCACAACAGTTAGTTTAAGCCATGTGGGAAGGTGTAGACTTCCTGGTTGGGGTCCTCAGGACGGTAAAAGCCAATGTCTGGAGACAACTGATGATATGGCCCAAAATTGTTCTCGATGATTGAGCGGATGCATCCACTCCTTGTGACTTATAATACCCAATGAAACTATATTGTTCTTCGTTATTACTATTCCTTTTGTCTCATATCCCTGTTTACTGTCTCTATTTTACATTTCTTCTCTTGCTTTTTGTGCTACATGGAGTGTGGAGACTTGAACTGCTGTACATCGGTGCAAAGTTCTATGTTGAAAACAGACAGACATGCACTTGTTATTATTGTTGCTAAAGGGTAATCAAAGATTAATTCAGAGCACTTTTTACAGTACGTCGTCTACTAAAAATCATAACGTGTGTTTTATTTCTATAACAATTAGGGTAAGCTGTGAGATGGTAATATTGTAGAGTTCAGCAATTAATAATATAAAGCGGAAACAGACAAATTTTTAGTTGGTTTTTTTTGCAAATTCTTATTCATTGCCTGCAGTCAGATATGGGGAAATATAGTTTCTACATTAAGTGATAATTGATGAATACTAGGTGTCTTGAAAACTGAAATTTGGATAACATAAGTGATTATGGCTATGGAATTACCTGCGAAAAATCTCGAGAAAAATGTTCCTATATTTTTCAACCTGTATAAGTAAACAACCGCTTAAATCAATTTTGAGAGGTCCGAAATCTTGCATATTTCTACATAACTTCGTATACCAACTAAACCACTGTATGTAGTCTTCTGTAAACACGATGAACCCATCTAACTGCTTGCTGATTGTACTTAAACTTTTAGAGAAGAATAAAAATAAAGGTCATAGAGTATTGCATAGATATGCCAGCATATTAATACTCCCTTCGTTCTAATTAGCCTTACTATTTTTTTTGAAAATACCCGAGTAATGTGAACACTGCGTATGCAGCCTATTAAAGTAGGTATTTGAAGGGGAGAATTGATTTACCGTAATAAAGCAATTCCCTCTCAATAGAAAGTTTGGAAATCTGTCTAGTTGTTAACGTGATGCTTCATATTATTCGATTATTATTACTATTATTATTATAAGCATTAAATGTTATTGTTTCTTCACTGTTGATGATAAGTGAGTTTAATATCTGACCCATTTCACTAAGTTGAGTAGGTTTGTATTTCTAAGAGCAGATACCTGAGCGCTGTTTTAGGAGCTGAAGAATGTTGAAGTTGACATCTCCGGTTCATACCCTTAGGCTAAGAAAGAGTGTTTTCGAAGAGTACTTTCAAAGGACTACTCATGTATAAATACTTGAATTGATCCTATGTGTGAGGATACATTGCTGTACATTTGGCTACATCTTGAACTTTGTCATTAGAGTGATGACAGAGTGTATCCAGCCCTCTCTTTGTATAACATTTCTCATGCTTTGCAACGCGACAATAAATTATACACTCAGCAGGATTGTACTCCGATGACTTCCATAAAAAATTAGGTACTAGATAGACCACTTGGGTGCTATGAAAGAGTTGAGAGTGGGCCTACTTGATCGTATACTTTATGGTGTTTCCATGTATAGTGTTTCTTTCAAGCCTTTGCTTTGCAACACAGTTAAGCTGTGAGCTTACCAGAACTGTGATGAAACGCAGTCGATTTATAGCCATTTAGAAAGTGAGTAAATTCGGTGAAGAGAAATCACTTTTCCTGTCAGTTAATTTGTTATGTGGACGAACTTCTACAGAAAAACAATATCACTAGATTAGAATCAAGTTCGTACCTGTATACATTCGCCTAGAAAATTCATTTAACTACATTAAACAACAGCATGATATTTTCATCATACAAAGCTACCCTTACAACTATCTAATGTTTAAAATAGATATTTCATATATAAAACTTTGACTTATTTATTCAACAAATACGTCGGTGTAGATGAGTAATGATTATTTTATTTGCTTTGCATGAAAGTTCTGTCGTGAATTCTTTGTCCGTTGACTAACCATTTTATCTAACCAAATGAAAAGGTATAGTCAACTTACAATCAGGACACACATTTTCTAGATTCTCAGTCCAAAGTTAGAATGACACAGTTTGGTGACACTGGTGTTTTCATTGTTTATTACAGTTTCTTAATTTCCATTAAATTTGCTCCCATGACTTGAAATTTTGTCCATTTATATGCTTTACGCTAGAGTTACGCTAATGTAAGAAAAACAATCATAAAAGTTACATTTGTCTCATTCACTGTAGCTATCTATGTACTTTGCGCTTAAAAACTATTATTACTTTTGTATCTATAGAAATAATTCATTCATTAACAATTGTTTGACAGTTTTCAGTATAAAAAAAAAATTCAAGGAAATGCCGACTATGCAAAATCTTACTTCTTTATACGTTGTGTTCTCTTAACTTTCAAAGTGAAGATTATTTAAACTTCGATTACATTTCGAAGTTTTGTATTCAATTTCTTTTTTTATCCGTAGAAATTATGTATTGAAAGAGATACACTTTTGTATGGTATTTCTCAGTTTCACTTCATTTATTATGTATGCAAATCTTTGCCTCAGCAGCTAAACTTTATTTAACAAACAGTATTGTGTGGTTAAAGAAATGTTCGGAAAGAACTAAATCATTAGCTTACTGACACTAAATAAATGGCTATTTCATTGTGGCTGACATTCATGCGACGCTATCACATGCACTAACCACCTTTACCATCTGTTGTCTTAGTACCTAATTTTATGTTGTTGATGAGGATTTTTGTATATGTAGAAAACTAGTCGTAATTCTAGGCATACTAGGCAGACGAGATGGCTGAAACAATGATTTTACGTGGTAAGGCAATGCTGGAATGCTTATGAAACAGTAATCGCAAGAGGTTTTTTACATTATTATGGATGCTGTATGGCTCATCATAAAATAACCAACTGGTTTTCTCAGTCTCCACTTTTCCTAAAGCCAGCTTTACGTTTCCCTCATTGTTTTCGCAAATTTTGCAGTATTTCTGCACAATGGGCAT